TGTGACAACATGTCCCATAGGTGGGGCACATTGTAACATGACCATATGACAGATTAAAATGTTATCTGATCTAATCAAACAAATATACAAGACAAACAAAAATATTTTCTCAATAAAATACAATGAACTTTTTCATATAAAATAATGGCATTTTAAAATAATTAAAAATAAACAAATTTTTGAGTTTGACAACGTACAACATAGTTCAAAACATATTCATTGTAACGCAGTGTGACAACATGACCCACTTGCACAACTGGGATTTACGTTGTGCCCCGCTATCCCCTATATTTCCTTTCCCGGTTGATACTTTGCAAACTGATTGTTTCTGTCGTTCGTTTAAAACTTCTATCTAAAACAGCTGTTTAGTTTAGCGATTTACATCTTATCTCGCACTTTATGACCGAATAACTGAAGCGTCATGCGGAAATTCGCGCTCGGCTTGCAGCTTCTGTGAACATAAACCCGCCTACTTTGATTTATTCTCCGACTCAAACATTTTGACATTGACGAGCGCTGTTAGTCTGCTGAAGCAGCTCAGATGAGAAGGTCAGTTATCATCGCGATGTTTAATATCCTTGCAGCACCAAATTAGAGTTAATATTAGGCAATTATTTCACAACTTTCATTATACACATAGAAAAATTACAGAGGCCCGGACCTCAATTGTGGGTATACGACCCTGTCCCTATGCACAAATTTATAATTTACTGTATTTTCCAGAAAATAAGTTGGACCTGAGTGTGTAATACTTTGTTGCGCTCTTGAGGCGTAGTAGGCATACTTCCCCTCACTCCACAGCAAATCCTTAAATTAATGGTATTCAGAACAAAACGAGAATGAAAAATTATACTATTAATAGATAATAATACAAATAATAATAATAGTAGTATACAGACAACATTTATTTAAAACATCAATTCTAAACGAATTAAGTTGAATCGAAACTGAAACTGCAGACGTTGGGCTCGTGCATCTCTCATTCGGTCCAAAGTTTCCATATTTGCGATGTAGCCTAACATTTGGATGCTTAACTATTTATGTAAAGAAAGCTTCATGCTTCAGTCCCAATATAGGCCTACACGTATCAGCATCTTCACATTTGGAGAAATGAGATTGGAACAATAGCAAGTCGACAGTATATGATTGACCGTCACTGCCTTCATAGTGTACAACAGACAAATTAAATTAAGCAGAACTTTTTATAAGTTCGGTGAGTATTTTATTTTGACAATGAACAGGTTTTGATGTCAAATTAGCAGTGCTAGAACTGACATATTGTGCGCGCACACGAGACGCCGGCGCGAACACTTGGATTTTTCCTCAGCAGTGGAAACAAAGGAATACTCTTATTTATGGTCATACAGATAAGAGTACATCATTCAAAACGGCAAAGTGTCTATTTTTTATTTGTGTATACATTAAAAATGACTACAAAATGTCATGCCTTTTAAAAATAAAGAACACAACAGGATGCGCGTTCTGCCGTCTCTGTCTCCTTTCTGGCGCACGTGCCCAAAAATCGACCAAAACACAGCGAATACTTGACGCACAGACATAAGAAATATAGATAGATTATCTATCTATAGAAACCTTTAAGAGCCTACTTTTTTATTATTTGACATTAAATGCATTATATAAGTCACGTTGGAATAAATAGCAAGTTTTCAGATGCTAAAGAAAACATGACTTATAGTCGGGAAAAAGCGGTAGGCTGTTATAAATTATTTCGCGGACCCCCTGGCTATAGTTCACGGACCACCAGGGGTCCGCGGACCCCACATTGAGAACCACTGGACTAGATGGTCCCAACGAGCTCGGTGCTCGCCGAATCCGTCAAGTATTCGCCGAGATATTTGCGTAATAGACGGTATTGTCTATGAGTTCGAGCACGAGCGCTCTTGTAAAATTTGGTTGCAATCTGAAACCTCACCACTAGAGGCCGCTAAAAGTTACATAGAGCACCTTTAAGAGTTTGTTCATGACATGCAAAAATGTCACATTAGAGACCGAACATCATTGTACTACATAACAAAAAGTTATTTTGAAGAATGAAAACTGCTTTTGTCCATACAATGAAACTCGATGGGGTCCAAAACAACTCCACTGGTCCCCATTGACTTTCATTGTGTGGACAAAAAAACAATGGGACATTTTTGAAGATTTCTTACACAGAATAAAGAAAGTTATACAGGTTTGGAACGACATTCTTGGAGTTTTTGGCTCAACTATCTCTTTAAATGAGTAGTATTTTGCAGATCAATCTATTACTTTTACAGAATCGTTGCTTTGCTCACTTGATGTGTGTCCTCTAGACTTTCATTCAGGTAGCAGGTTCCCAGGGTCAGTGAAGACGGTGGCCCTGTGATTAATCCTGACAATGACAAAGATATTGATTATAACAAGACACACCATGTCGTCAGGCGTATTGTGAAGTGGAAAGTGCGCTTTAGGGACATTCAGCAGTCAAGCGGTGGTCTGCGCTTTGCTCCCCCAGAGTGTTGCAGTGATAACGCTGACAGGAATGCTGCATAACATTACGGTGCAGGTGAGAGCGCCCTTGGCTCTCAGACAGGAAGATTGTGTAAGTCAAGATGCATTAATATGTTTTTATGTTTCCCCTCTTTATTTTCTCCCTGCCTCCAAAGCACATTAGCACATGCTGTTCTTAAAATATCCTGAATTTCATTCAAACTATTTTTATACAGTTTGGATCCCAAGTTCAACTGATTCACTGATCCGGTTAACAGCTCACTGCAGGGGAAGAATGTCATTGAATACGGACTTAAATTTCTGTCTCTTCACATAAATCTATCACATGACACTTTTATTATACTTTTATGGTGCTTTTTGTCATTATGGAGCTTGACAGAGGTTTCATTTATGGGGATGCTTCTAATGCTCTCATTAGCATGAGATAAATGTTTAGTAGCCTAAGTAATCTTTATCATTTCAAATCTAAGTTTTGATGTTCTTATAGCTATCTAAGAAGTTCTCTGAACAAATGGATTTCTGATTCCAAATCCAAGAAAAGGATTTAGATAAAAAGGGCAAACAGTGGCTTGTCCCTGCATTGATCTGAGAGATTAAGTCCATGAATTGAAATGTTGAGTTTTTTTCCCCATCGGTGTGTGGAATTTTAACAATTGTTTAATTCACACTGTTTATTTTCACCATAATACTTGATGAAAACAGTTCAGAAATGAATATTCATAGGTACTTTCTATGGGTAGTCGTCATGCGCAGATTTTATAGCTGGAATTAGCTTGGTGTGATTTTTTTTATCCACCAGAAATAGCAAACAAAATAGGGTACTGAGTCTGGCTGATATTGTTTATATATCACACCAATATTGCTTTCCAGTGTCTCCTCTGAGACGTTGCAATTACTATGGAAAACAAATGTAAAAAGTAAATAAATGAAAGCCGGCTTAATAAATTGGAACCAGGTCTATTGTCCCACCACATTTTTTCATACAGTACTGCTAACAAACACTGCAGAGTCAAATATAGATATTCCCCTTAGACGAGATGGAAATTGAGAGATAGAGCGGGAGAAAATGCTAGATCTGTAGGAGATATATTGGCAACACAGGAGGAACATGTTATTATAGGGCTGGATATTTCAGTAGCAGCTTGACTTTGCAGTGGTGCGGTATTCTGAACATATTTAATTGGGTCCCCGCTGATTGATTGCCATTCTTCCTCTGAAGCTCGGAGTACGTGAGAACAATATGAGAATATGATGGGATGTCATGTGTGGACAGCTGTACTTGGGGGTAATATGAAAAGTGACATTAACAGCAGAGAAAATGGATTACTTTTAAATCTGAATATATGCATTAAATAGATCATTATTAATTATATCATCAAGAAACAAAGAAAAGAGCTATTCATCACTGGATGAAGAAGCATTTTTAGGGAAGATTAAGGAAATAACTAAAACTAATAAACCATGAGAAAGCAAGTCTCCCTCCTGAAATGCATATACATGCATTAAATTTGAATGTTAATTTAGATTGTGTGTGTACCGAACCTCATGTTGATCCAGGGGGATTGTCACTGTTATAAATAGCCTAAATGGCTTTGGGTAAAATCATCTTCAAAATGACAGCTTGATATTTACATATAAATCTGAACATCAACATGATATTTAACATTTCCTAAATGTAATTGCCTACATCAGATGGAAAATGAAAGAAACTAATTTTGACCTGCATATGTAGGCTAAACTATGAAGTACCATGCAAGTCATGTAAATTAAAATGTATTATTAAATATTTTTACTGTAAATTTTTTTAAAAAATGTTATAATTTATGGATATATAATATAGGCCTATACACACACATATATATGTATAGATTCTTCACAGTTTCTGTAAGATAATCACACAAACATAAACACACCAGGGTAACATATAGGCTATATATATATATACATATATATATATATATATATATATATATATATATATATATATATATACATATATATATATATATATATATATATATATATATATATATATATATATATATATATATATATATATATATATATATATATATATATATATATACTGTGAAGTTAGAAAATAAAATATGCAGTCACCAAAATGCTTGTAATATCATCACTGTATTTGTACAGTAAAGTTATGGCAACCACATAAAAGGTAAATAAAATAAACTATTTCATAGTGTATTAATATGAATGGGAACTCTCCTTTGATCTATATATAAACAGCATACTAAATGTGACTTTTTGATTGAAGATTGAAGACGCCTTAACTAGGTAACTTATGTATTCCTGTCAGGTCAAAAAAAAAAAAAGAGAAAGAATATAGCAAAAAGTACAAACATACTTATGCAATTTAGAATATAACTGGTGGCCTACTGTAGCCATGTATGTCTCTCTCGATCTCATAAGTGGAATCGCCCGGAGATTGACAGATTTAACAGTGATGACGTCGATTTTCAACCAAGATGAAACTCGCGTGCAGACCCGCAGCCTCAGTTAGACGCTCAGACGGGCAGCACCGCGCGCTTTCTTGGGATGCACGCGCGTCCGCACAATTTCTGCTGGGAAGTCAACAGAACATAGCAGTAGACTAGAGACCTCTCGCGTGATGCTGGACATATTGAGGTCTTTTCCTGGACTTTAACGGAATTCCGGGGGCGAAAGTTGTTTATGTTTAGTTCGAGGCTCTTGTGTGTGGATGTGGGAAGACATGCGGCGAATTGGCTGTTAAATATTTCGGGACGAGAATTGAGAGAGAGACTATGCTGCGGTTAATGGGACACGAAGTGTCAGATGCCGCGTTGAAACTCGTATTGAACTTTAATCTCTCCGAATAGAAACCTGTCGCGCGAGCAGTTCCACACATACCAATAGGCTTTTCCGCATGGAAAGTGTCCTTACCGATCAGCCTGTTCTTCCTGAGAATAAGGGAATGTTTATTGCGTGTTGAGTCGGGATGGATGTGCTGTTGTGAACGCGTCAGATCTTCAGAAAGATGCAGCATCTTCGTGTGGCGTGGGCGCTCGCGGGAGCGGCGCTGGGCTTTTTTCTGCTCTTCTGGATTCAAGCGCATTTCTTCGGCGAAGGTAAGCCGTAGGCTACTCTAACGGTCAAATTGTCAGAATTAACTGAATGCCGAAAAAAAGTGCTAATTTCACGATAAATTATTAGGCCTATAAGAAAAACATGCAGTTGTGGTTGCCAGAACTTTACCGTAAAATATAGATAGTGATGATGTAAACATTTTTATGACTTTTGGTTTGCCTATTACGCGTATTTATTTTTCCTAACTGTGGCCCATATACGTCATTAAATCATATAATATTAATACCAACCTATTTGCGTAAATGTTTGTTACTGTGAAATGTACTGATAATTGTACAGGTGGAACAATGGAAGGCCACATGATGATACGTCAATGAAAATTGGCCTCTACAGCAACTATAATAACATAAAGAAGACAGAGTTACATACCCAAACATCAGACACTAAAATAATTCAGTAAACTTAACATATAATGCAACAAAAAATGTAAACGTACATTTGTGTATAGGGAATTGGGGGATGGGAATGCAGGATTAATGTGGTTTTAATCCTGCATTAAAACCACCTTAAGATTGCAGGATTAAGATTTACTTACAAAAATATAATTTCAGCAATATCTTACCGTAAAGGTATACGTAGGCTACTGCCTTGTTAAATATACAATTCAGAATTTTTACTTTTCAAAAGCATTTTGTTTTTTAAATATCTTTCAGTTACAAAAACTGAACCATCAGACACTAAAATAATGCACTAAACTTGAACAATAACATAAAATACAACATAAAAAACTTAATGGATAATGGCTCTTTCTCCACAAATTATAAAGGAGTTTCTGAGATTTACTTAAAAAAATATAATTTAAGCAAAAGGCTATCTATATCATAAAAGTATACGCATTGTTGAATATGCAAATTGAGGAATTGTTAATATGTTTTAAGAGGTGTTCTTTTTCTCTTAAATGTAATATTTTTTGAGTGCCATATAACATATCAGGGTTGCACTTGCACGATACCGGTACCACGGTATAACCATAACGCGATACCAAAGCTTCAAAATACTGGCGATGCCACTGCTAAACAGTAAGTAATGTTGTATTTGCGGCAGTAAAACTATTAAAATAACTATTATAAAAGTTAATTTGAACACTTAATGGCTGGAAAAACATTACAAGAGAGTCTTTTTGAGTGCCTTTGCCTTTCTGCTGTCCCCTGTGCAGTGAATGCTGTGTAGAATTTGCACTTTATTGAGTGTTATCCTTCAAAAGTGCGTCTGATTCCAGCTCATTTTGCAATGGAACGTTGCACGTCATTGATTGCCCTGTGGTTTATCAGATGAAAGGGTATGAAAAGATTTTTTAAATTAGCAGCTCAAACATCTCTATTCAACATCATAAGATCTTTATATAAGAATTTATTCTCTCAACTGGTGCTCATTTGACCACTTCTGTAACAGGTGGTTTGTTTCTAGAATCATCTTTGTGATGATGAATGGAATTCAGTTCATCAACAGTGGCATTTGCACTCATTTCTTATCAATCATTTCAATCCTAATTAAAATGTGACTTGCTTAATAGCCCATTTAGGCTATAACATGATAGTCTAAACACAGTTTAGCAATATGACACGAGCAAGAGTGCTGTTTTCCGAATATCAGCACGATTGATTTTACACAACAGTTCAATAAACAAAAAGTTATTATTAAATGACAGTTTAGACAATATTGTTTTTCCAATGAAAATAGTTATTCCAAACAAAGCAGTTTGGCAGACTTGCCGCAACCTACTGGCGGTTTTAGATTCCCATTTAAAAGAAGGCCCATTAGCCTATTTGATGTTTTTCAACATAACATTATTGTTAATTAATAATCACAATTGTAATTGCAGTGTAAATGCATTGATACCACCTCGCAGCATTAAACTGTCAGTGTAAATACATCTAAATGTCACTTCAGATGCAGCATCTGTGCCACTTCTGCAGTGCCAAGATGGATTTTGTTTACACTAATTTCATTTGATAAGTAACAAAGCCAGTTAATTATCATTAATAAAGTATTCACATGAAAATGTAATCTATTAGTTTTCATTTACATCTATGTATTTTATGAAAATTTGGTCCATTTTGTAGATTTGAATTATGAATTAACTACACAATACTGCATGGTATCGGGATATTACTTGGTATTGGTAGATATGTTTATGGTATCGTGACAACCCTATAACACATATTGCTTATATCAACATGTCAGTATGCAAACACAATGAGATGGAAAAGAGACAAGAGTAATTTGGACCTGTTTTTTTAAAGAATATAATGTATTTCCTTATTGCACTTGTAATCATTACCATATACATTTATTTTTTATGTGTATGACACACATATAGTGCATGCATATGCTCTGCCATGTACGTGCATCAATGATACTCTGCATTCATCTGGCATCAGAATTGATAAGAAAAAAATTGCGCATGACCTTTCATGTACGTGTGCACTTAAATAGCTTAAGGCCAAACCAAGGACCATCTGTTTGAATTGCTACTCCATTTATTTACTTAAGGAAATGCCATATTAATATCAATGTCATTTACTGACTTTCTTTGCAACTGAACAACAATCATGTAACCTAGTTTGGAGACATACGATGCATGCTGATATCAAAACTATTCGGTTTTACAATTTGATTTACAATCAATTGTTATTATATATGATCTTGTGGATAGCATATAGACTGGATTGTGACACATCTGCCTATATTCCCAATCAGACAATCCTTGAGCACTGGTGTCATTGAGGGGATAGATAGATAGATAGATAGATAGATAGATAGATAGATAGATAGATAGATAGATAGATAGATATATAGATAGATAGATAGATAGATAGATAGATAGATAGATAGATAGATAGATAAATGTAATGATGTGACACCCTAGAACTCAGTCTGACATCTTTTGTCTTCTATACGCTCTGGAAAGAAAAAGCGAGAAAATTCTGCCTCATAAAATTGATCCATGTTGCATAAGGGTCTCAGTATAAGGACCACTGTGAAATAGTTCAGACATGTTCATGACCAGTGTCATGCTCAGAGAACAGACAATTATTTTTCAATATTCAAGAACTTTCTAACTATACAGATCTTTAAATACAGCATAAGGCAAGTTGGAATTGCATTTTTTAATCGAACACCCTTGCAGATGTCTTTAGTTTTAACCAATCAATGGACTTCTAAGGGTGCTTTCACATCTGTAGTTTGGTTCATTTGGTCCGGACTAAGGGCGAAAAATTATACTTTGTATCATTTTCAGGCGTTTTGGTTCCTTTTCACACCACACTGATTGCTCTGGTCTGAATCAGTTGATGAGTTGATGAAACGAACCAAAATGCAGTCACGTGACAACATCCACATCACTCGTTGGCCAGATGTGTCTTGAACATATTTCCACAACTGCACTTCGATTGGTCAGAATTAACGTGCGGGAAAATTCCAACAGAACTCCTGGAAGTAAACAAAGAGGAGGAAAATCCGGCAGACATGCGGATAATTCGCTCACATGTATGTTCAGAATCCGCACGAGCTTTATCCTTTCGCAAATCCCCTCATAAACAACAAAGTCTAGACGCAATATAAATAAGAGATTCACTGTGCAGTGCGGACAACTTCAGTGTTTATGATGAGAGTGAGAGTGCAGAACGCGGTAAGTCAGTCATGGCTTAATATAAAGGGAGCGCTATTGACAATCTAAATAATAATTTTGTTTGACTACGGCAGCTGGTTTAGTCCAAAAATGCGCAGTTCTTTGGCAGTTGGGTCTGTTCGAGGTCGGATCACGTTCTCACCAGAAACGAACCGCTCCAGAGTTCGTTTGAAAGCGTACCGAGACTACCTCTTTGAGGAGGTCTCGGTACGCTTGTTTGGTCCGCTTTTGGTGCGCACCCGAGTGCGATTGCTGCATTCACACCTGCCCAAATGAACCGCACCAACCGCACTTTGTTTCTTATTCAACCGAACTAAATGAGGCAGGTGTGAAAGCACCCTAAGTGAACCAATGCTATCATTAAGTTCAGAGTTTTTTCTGTGTGGGATATCAGTATAGGTGTAAGGTTCAACCCATAAGAGCAGTCACCCATTATGTGTGAGATAGCTTTGAACAGCTTAAAGGTTTGAGTTGGCCTGCCGCCATGGCAAACAAAACATGTTGGACTGGTTGCCACAGTAACTGGGCTTTTAAGAAAATAATTGGAGAATGCATGGGTTTGCTTCTCACAAAGTGCCAAGGAATAGAGCAGTGACCTCCAGCATAGTGATAGAGAGAACCACAGGAGGCATCTGCCCAAACGCTTTTCATTTCCTACATAGAGAGACTTGTGCAGTGTCGGGTGTTTGATATTATAATGCACCAACCTCAGACCTTAGCTCACATTTTCCAACATTTCTCCATTTATTTTTTTCTGTAGGCCAGTTTTGTTTATGCTCAATTTAGAATGGATTATCCAATGGCTTTAAAAATAGAATTTAGTCAACAGTGATTGTTATAAAGACTTGTTATACAAGTCATCACAAAATACAAATTGACCATATTTACTTTCCTAATACACATTTCTGTTGTTATTGTGAATGATTTACAATGTTTTATCTTTCATTACAAATAACTTGCTTCACCACTGAAACAACTTTCCTTTTTAGCTGATGCCACTTTTTTTTATGTTGCTAATAGTTTGCACAATTCCATGCCAGTTAAAATGAATTAAATAAACACTTTCCTTTTTAGCTGATGCCACTTTTTAAAAATCTTACAATTTCATGCCGGTTAACAGTAATGTAGTATAAACCCACTTTTCCTTTAGGATGATAAGATTAATCCTTCATTTTTTTTCTTTTAAATATTCTTAATGAACTGAACAACAATCTTAATATATTTTAAGCTATTAAAGCTCATAAAAACGTATTATTTTTTTAAATAGATTTTTTATTGAGGTTCCATTTTGGTCTCATTTGGTGCTTTGGATGTAATGTTGTAGCACTACTAATAACTTCGGGACCCTTT